TCATCAGCATCTTCATCATCTTCCTCATCATCATCAGCATCAGCATCTTCCTCATCAGCATCTTCATCATCTTCCTCATCATCATCAGCATCAGCATCTTCATCATCAGCATCTTCATCATCATCATCATCTTCCTCAGCATCATCTTCATCAGCATCTTCTTCATCAGCATCTTCATCATCTTCATCATCATCATCTTCATCAGCATCTTCATCGTCATCATCTTCATCAGCATCATCTTCATCAGCATCTTCATCAGCATCATCAGCAGCATCTTCATCAGCATCATCATCATCATCTTCATCAGCATCAGCATCAGCATCTTCATCATCTTCTTCAGCATCATCTTCATCAGCATCATCATCTTCATCATCTTCATCAGCATCTTCTTCATCATCATCATCATCAGCATCATCTTCATCAGCATCTTCATCAGCATCATCAGCAGCATCTTCATCAGCATCATCATCATCATCTTCATCAGCATCAGCATCAGCATCTTCATCATCTTCTTCAGCATCATCTTCATCAGCATCATCATCTTCATCATCTTCATCAGCATCTTCTTCATCATCATCATCATCAGCATCATCTTCATCATCAGCATCTTCATCATCTTCTTCAGCATCTTCATCATCAGCATCATCTTCATCAGCATCATCATTATCATCTTCATCAGCATCATCTTCATCATCTTCAGCATCATCTTCATCATCAGCATCTTCATCATCTTCTTCAGCATCTTCATCATCAGCATCATCTTCATCAGCATCATCATTATCATCTTCATCAGCATCATCTTCATCATCTTCAGCATCGTCTTCATCATCAGCATCTTCATCATCTTCTTCAGCATCTTCATCATCAGCATCATCTTCATCAGCATCATCATTATCATCTTCATCAGCATCATCTTCATCATCTTCAGCATCGTCTTCATCATCAGCATCTTCATCATCTTCTTCAGCATCTTCATCATCAGCATCATCTTCATCAGCATCATCATTATCATCTTCATCAGCATCATCTTCATCATCTTCAGCATCGTCTTCATCATCAGCATCTTCATCATCTTCTTCAGCATCTTCATCATCAGCATCATCTTCATCAGCATCATCATTATCATCTTCATCAGCATCATCTTCATCATCTTCAGCATCGTCTTCATCATCAGCATCTTCATCATCTTCTTCAGCATCTTCATCATCAGCATCATCTTCATCAGCATCATCATTATCATCTTCATCAGCATCATCTTCATCATCTTCAGCATCGTCTTCATCATCAGCATCTTCATCATCTTCTTCAGCATCTTCATCATCAGCATCATCTTCATCAGCATCATCATTATCATCTTCATCAGCATCATCTTCATCATCTTCAGCATCGTCTTCATCATCAGCATCTTCATCATCTTCTTCAGCATCTTCATCATCAGCATCATCTTCATCAGCATCATCATTATCATCTTCATCAGCATCATCTTCATCATCTTCAGCATCGTCTTCATCATCAGCATCTTCATCATCTTCTTCAGCATCTTCATCATCAGCATCATCTTCATCAGCATCATCATTATCATCTTCATCAGCATCATCTTCATCATCTTCAGCATCGTCTTCATCATCAGCATCTTCATCATCTTCTTCAGCATCTTCATCATCAGCATCATCTTCATCAGCATCATCATTATCATCTTCATCAGCATCATCTTCATCATCTTCAGCATCGTCTTCATCATCAGCATCTTCATCATCTTCTTCAGCATCATCTTCATCAGCATCTTCATCTTCATCATCATCTTCATCAGCATCATCATCATCATCATCTTCATCAGCATCATCAGCATCATCTTCATCATCTTCAGCATCATCTTCATCATCAGCATCTTCATCATCTTCTTCAGCATCATCTTCATCAGCATCTTCATCATCATCATCATCTTCATCAGCATCATCATCTTCATCATCAGCAGCATCATCTTCATCAGCATCTTCATCTTCAGCATCATCTTCATCATCAGCATCATGTTCCTCTTCAGCATCTTCATCAGCATCATCATCTTAATCTTCTTCAGCATCATCTTCTTCAGCATTATCTTCTTCATCTTCATCATCTGCATCATCTTCATCTTCATCAGCATCTTCATCTTCTTCAGCATCTTCCTCTTCATCATCTTCTTCAGCATCTTCCTCTTCATCATCATCTTCAGCATCA